TCCTTTTCTTTGACTGCAGTAACAAAGAACAATGTCTTTATGCCATCAAGCTTCTGTGAACCCTCTACAGGCAATTCTGACTCAGAACCAGGTGAGCTTCCTCATTTTTCTGCTTTTTTCTCGACCTGTTGTCAGTTTGTCACGATCCAAAGCACTCTGAAACTTCAGAAGTAAGACCCTCTCTGTGAGATTGGACGTGGTGGTGGTTCTGATCTTGGAGCTGTTATCTTGCTCACTTCATTGTTTGACTTCATCCTTGCTGGAGGTAATTAAACTCACAAATAGGAAAACTGTTGCATGCTTTGTGAGTGATGACAGAAGACTGCAATATGACTTTCAGGAAATCTTCATTTATTGACTTTGCTTTCTAATACAGAAGAACAATATTCCAAAAGAGCCATGATCTATGGTCATAGTGATGTTCAGCCATGACCTGTGAGCCCTGTGTTGACAGAACTGCTGATTTTGTCAGTCCCCATTCTGGTTCAGTGCTGTTGGTGTTGCTGTGGTGCACATCAGTGTTTTTAGGATTAACTGGCATGGGAATAACCAAGCACAGTGGGATTGGAAGATACTGGGTTGTCTTATTCTGAGCACAGACATTATGCCCCTAAAAGGAAAAAAGTATAAATATTCTTTTTAAGTTCTTAAGAACTCAATTTTTAATAGCTGTGGATTTATGAATATTTTGAGATTTTGGTGTTTTATCTAAAAGCCCTAACTGTGGTGAGTGCAAGCAAAGGAATTTCTTTTACCTTCATACTGTAAAAGCACTCAGTAAAAGCTAATGGAATTATAAGAAACTACTGTTAAGCAATGAAGTTTAATTTATGATAACTAGCAGTTGGGTGCTTGTTAGCACCTGTCATGTTCAGTCATACTTCTGATTGTCCTTTCTTTAGTTTGATTCTCACCTAAAACCTCTCTTAAGTCCTTCACAGGAGGAGCTCCATTTCTCTTGTGAACACGGTCTTTTTCCTGTTCTCCTGAAAAAAAAGACCTGAACTTTTTGCTTGCAACAACTTGTTTGTCTGTAATGTGTGTTGGATGTGATGATCACTGGAAATTCAGATTTCTTTTGGAAGAAGAGAATTTCTTCCTTTGGAAATCTCCTAATGGCTTCGGATATGTATAGAACTTGTGGGTTGTTACAGCAGGGAAAACACGAGGAATATTATGACTGCATAGGATGTTTGTGGTATGTTACAGCTTTGTCCTTGTAACTTTTTGTTTTGCTTGCAGAGGAGAAGAGCAGTGGATTCCGGCTGAAGCCACCGATACTTATCCATGGTCAGGCACCCAGTGCAGGTGAGTTCACTGCCCTCTGCAAGAGCACAAAGAAACCAGTCCAGGCATTTTATTTTGTGGTTTCTTCAACCTGCTATTGTAAGGTGGTATTGTGATGCCTGTTCTGCACCACAGATTGGCTGTGGCTGAGTCTCCTGTTTGCTGATGTAGAGCCAGCCATAAATATTACAGACATAAATATTACAGACGTAAATATTACAGCTCCTTAGGAGTTTGAGGGGAAAAAAAACCCCAAAACTATTTAGGTAATGGAAGTTATTATTACATATGGATGTGAAAACTTTATTTCACTTGCAGGAAGAATGATAGATTTAAGAAAGGAACAAGTTTTTTTGAGCTGACCTGTGAATGTTTGAACTTGGGATAGTTGTTATATTTTGTTGTTGTCGTGTCCTCGCTGCTATGAGTGAGTTCTCTTGCAGTATTATGTTGGATCAAGAGTGTTCAGTGAAGAAAACTGAACCTTCTGGGATTGCTAAACCTTCTAGAGCTGATGTTATGATGTTTGGGATATTTTTATTAGGTTGCTTAAGGTCAGTTGGCTTTTTGAATCATAGCAGAATTAGAGTTGTAGTGCTGTGTATCTTGCCATAGCAAACCAAAGAGGCCAGGTTAATTCAAAGAGCCAAAAAGTTATTAAACAACACAGCTCAACTATTACACTACTAATACATTTCTTTGTATGAAGAAAAAAAAAATCTTTTACCAGTATCTGGAAATTACTTAAATGGTATGAGAAGAGTTGGAATGTGTAGTTGAATAAAATGTCAGTGCATAAATAGGATTACTGGTGTACTGTTCATTTCTCCTACACTTTGGCTTTTATTTCTGAGTCAGTAGTAAACTCTCCTTCTGTGCTTTCCTGGGTAGAGAATATATTTTAAAGTGTCTTTTAAGGCTATGAAGTAGTCTTCTCTATTTGGGACTAATTCTATTTTGAGGCTGAGTGAGGGATGGAAAAGAAGGGAGAAGAGATTCTTTTCTGATGTCTCTTTTTTTTCATCGTATGTTCTGTTGGGAGCAGTTACAGAGAAGCTTAGATGAAGCTGAACTTTTCAACTTTAAAGCTTTATAGCTCTTGAAAAAAACTTTGCCCTTGCAGGTCTCCCCAGCCAGAAGCCGAAGGAACAGCAGCGCAGTGTGCTCCGTCCAGCAGTGTTACAGGCCCCCCAGCCAAAAGCTTTCTCACAAATGGGTAAAGAATGCTTCTGCTTTCTAGAATACAGTCAGGAGAGAACAGAAATATTCAGTCTGTTTAATGTAGTGGTTTGGTTTTACTCAACATCCACCTAGTTTTTCTAGGTTTCTCCTTTCGGAAGAGAAACATCTTAAATGTCAGGTGTGTCTGTTACAAAAGGGATAACACAGAAGTGGAGCTTTCAGGTCTTGTGGAAGACAACTGTCTGACATTGCCAGGCCTCTGACTTTGGTGTAGTCCATGTGGTTTTGGAATAAAAAGCCTTCTAAGTGTGTGCACTCAAATGACAGACAGCACTGACCGTGGTGTAATGAGCTATCCCCAATAACTGATCAGCAGTAAAGTGCCTAAATTGCTGGGCTTGTGGGCCATTGGGCTTGTGGACCATTTTGGAGTTGTGACTTCAAGATAGAATTTTAATTCTTAAGTTTGATCATTCATGTAATGTTGTATGGTTGTGGAATCTGATACAGCTGATGGAAACAGGCATGATTAAAGACTGTAAGTTAAAGCAGAAAAACTGTTGGAAGTGTCCATGTCTCCTAAATTCCTTGTTTCCCCAGCCCGATGCCTTTTGTTTTGTGGAATTTTGGTTGAACAGAAAAAGTGAATAACTTCAGTTAATCGTCAATCTGGTGCAGAAGCAAACATTTCTAGCTTGATTTCTTGACATGTCTGCTGGCACAGATTGGACTCTACAGAAAACTTAGTATTGGAGTACAGATTTTCAGTGTGAGTTCAGTATGTGAGCAGGTGAATCAGCCTGAAGAGGAGTCTTCTTTGGAACAGTATTAGATTGGAGCAGGGTGATGCTTGAAGTTGTATATATTGAAGCCCTTGCAGCATTTGATTGATTAAATGACTGTTTTTCTGTGTTTGAAATTTTGATTCTGCTAAGAACTGCTGAATTGTGGTCCTTTATGTCTTTTGCAAAATACAATGGGAGCTCTCTAGTTTGCATTGCAATGTTTCATGGACTTAAAAGAGAAAAACTGCATGCAATTTGCTTTAGAAAACTTTTAGGACAGTCTAAATATCTAGTGAATTTATGGGATTTTCTCTTTCCTTGTTGCAGTTCTCAGCAGTGGCACTAATGGTGTAAATATCCTGCCAGATTCTGCAGCCACATCAGAATTACCAAGTGATGCAACACTGAAAAGTTCTGACTCTGAAGAGAAGGTGAGTTGGAGAAGGAGACTCAGAGTAACAGACTTATTCTCTGAACAGAGTAAAAACCCAGCATCAGTAAATGAATTCCCTACAAGAAATGGAGAGTGCAGGTAATGAGAGGCTGAAAAGCCTCACCTAGAGCAAAAGACATTGAAGTGCATCAAAAGTTGTTTATTTACTATCTTGAAAGAAAAGTAATGAAATATTTCCTTCCAGTTCTGTGCAGTGTATCCAGTCCTTCCCTTCCCTGTGGGTTTTGAGCTGACCATTGGCATCTGAGGATCCTGACTGATAGCATGGGGAGGATGTTTGGGGATTTTGAGTGTGGGTTTTTTGATGCCACATTGATCACAGAAGTAGTATTGTTTAGTGCAAGAGTATGGAACAGTTTACTTGAAATTCAAGTCTCAATCCTGAATATCCAAGCAGAAACACTTGCAGTGTGCCCTGCTTTTTAAGGTTTAGTGAAAGACTGCTGCCATAACTGAGGAATGATAAGTAAATTCCACACATGGAGTATGAAAACTTTGTGGGACATGCTTGTTACTGCTCTATACATCATTAGGGAGAGCCTCTTTGGGCTTTTAACATCCAAAAGTCCTCTTGACTTTTTTAACCAACTGACCTGGGAGAAAGTTTTCTGATAGAAGAAAGCCCTTAAATCTGGATGCTAAGAATTTCTGAAGGCTCAGTATTAAATGGGATAAAACTTCATGACTGAATTGCAATTTTACCAAGGAATGTGGTGGGATATTCTTCACTGTCTTGGCATTTGTAATCAGCTTTTTCTGCCTGAAGCTTTCTAGAACAGGTGGAAGTTACTTGAGTTCACGCAGTAGTTGTGTTAAATGCTGGAGTCTCTCCAGAATATTTTTAAGAAAAACACTCTAAACAACAACAGCTACATTATTTTAAATGCAAAACTTGCCTTGTAGCTCTTGAGGTGTTGTTGGCTTTTCATTGTAAATGAGTGTGTGACTCACCATGTCATAATGTGTTTTTATTTAAAGAAGCTCAAATACCCAGGCTGCATTTTTCCATTTCTTTAGGCAGGAGAATGTCAGAAAAAGGAGTCCAACAATACTTCAGATAACAGCTGTGAGAAGGCTGAACTAAATGCACAGCAAGCATTTGTATTTGGGCAAAACTTAAGAGACAGAGTTAAGGTAAACATGTTTGTTCTCTTGACTAAGTTTGTGAAGTACTTTGAAGCTCCAGGGTTAAAACCTCCGTGTATATGCGTAAAATTAAAAGTTGTGAACGTAGGTTGGCTGTTTAATAAAACTAGTCTTAGACATTTAATAAATTAATTAAGTATTAATTCTGTTAAGTAGCATAAGAAACCTTTTCAAAATAAATGCATCTACTGCAGTCATAAGTAACATCTAAAACTCAGTGCAATGTACTGTTTTCTCTTACCTTTTGAGTCAGAATTAAGTTGAAATGCAATCCTAAAATGCTCCCACGCAACCAAGACTTCACAGAAAAGGTGAGAAAAGAAAAACAGGGCTGCCTGGGCTCAGACCTGTGCATGGAATAACTGAGTTGGATTGTTAGTACCTCCTGTTGAAGACAGATTTGCACAGGTTTTGTGGTGTAAAAAAAGGAAGTGCAATATTGGGGCACAGGCTTATATTGTTTTATTGCAGAAAGCATTTTTGGGTGGAACTTTGTCCTTAGAAAGAATGAGTTGAAGCATTTGTGGTCAGTAATTAAAACTGGGAATGTCTCCTTGTGCTTTTCCCAGCTGGGGGATGAGAGCGATGAAAGCGCCGACGTGCAGAACTCTGGCCTGCCTACAGCAGATACACCTTCTGCAACCAACTATTTCCTACAGTACATCAGTTCCAGGTGAGACTACAGGAAAACCTGTAGGGCAGTTCTCCTTACTCTTGATTGGAAATTCTTTGGGATTCTGCTCTTTGTTGGGTGCAAGGTTCAGACTGGGTCGGTGGGAAGCCAGGCTGCTGAAGAATGCAGTGACACTCTTCAGATCTGGGGAAATCCTCAATCTGACAGTCAAGGGAGATGCTTTTGATACCATTTACATGACCACAGCCTCACCAAAGCCTCTCCAGAAAAGTAACAAGCATAAGATGGGCGAAGTCTTCTCTCATGATTAGAAAGGAACAGTGATGGAATAAACTGGAGCTCCCAGTAGAATCCTGCAGAGATCTGTGCTGTATTTGTGGTGTTCAGTATGTTCCATACATGATATTGGTAAAGGGAAGAATAGTTTAAAAAAATTATTTTTTCATGGTGGTGTCATGGTTTGAGACCCCCAAAAATCCAATTTCCAAGTCCAAGCCCCCCTCCCACAATTTGTTGCAGTGCAAGAGGGATTTTTCCAGGCATAACACAAGACTCACCACAGGTAGTAAACTTTTCAGAGCAGTGTAGAGGGCCTGTGAGAATAAGCAGGAACCTAACTGTGGGAAATCTTTGAGAGAATTTCTGATCAGGCAGTAGCATCAGAAGAAATATGATGCAGGCATAGGAAAAGTGAGGCAGCTAAAGGAGAAAACTGCTAATTCTGTCTGCAGTGATGAGCTCTGAGCTGACAGCCTTCACTTGAGGCTAAGGTAGCAATACAGCTCTGTGGAAATGCTAGCTTAGTAGTGGTCAAAAATATCAAGTAATGCACAGAAATAGTAGAAAACAGAAAGATAATATCTTCCAGAGCTGTGAATTCAGGTAATAACTGGAAAAGCATGAGGGGAAATCCTACCAAGAGTGATGGAGTAGAACATCATCTCTGTTCCTGGAGCAAGCTGAAATGCACCTTGTCTGAGGCCATGAAAAAATTGTAGGAAAAGCACCAATGCATGTTTGCTTTGTCCTTATATTCTGCATTTTTAAGACCTGTTGTTCACTATGAAGTAGGCAGTAGGCAGTTTTGCAGTCAATGAACTTTTGATGCTGAACTTTTCAGGTGGTGCACACAAGAGGTAGGGAACACCTTTACCTCTGGATGCCAGGTCAATACCTTTCCAAGAGACACAGATTTGTTTAATCAGATTTGGCAGACAATAACTGCTAATATGTGGGCTTCAAATACTAGAATATTTTTTCATATTTTTCAACTCATATGACATCTACTGTCATAATTCATTTGAGTCTTCACTTTGGGAGGATTTATTCATTGTGGCTCAATTGCCAGAAACCTAATTTTGGACTTGTCTTAAATATAAAGTGTCTGTAAGGGGAGTTGGCCCTAATTTTCAACTGGGATGGCAAAGCATTAAGGTAATCGACTGGTAAAAGGAGATTCCTCCCATTGTGTAACAGTATCAGTCCTTTAAAAATTGTAAATGTACTGGGTCACAGGGCAGATACCAGTAGGTCATATTGAGTTAACATTTGGAGCTCAGAACTGTGGCATTTAATTCCCTTAGTAGGTAAAGCTGTCTTCCCCTGAGGATCTTCTTATTCAGAAGTATGAACTCTACATGTACAATTTAAAGGTTTGTTTGGTTTCACTTGACTCATGTAGTGACAGATGTGCCCCCATTTTCCAAACTTTGTGAAATGCAAGTAGGCTTGATTTGAGTGGTCTGTTTATTCACTTCCTGAGCTTGTTGGTGTCTTCCTGATGGGAAGGCAGATGAACAGTGACTTAAGTCTTTTGAGTCTGTAAAAGAGTAAAACTGTTGTCCTTCCTAAATGGGATTTAAAATCTCTTAATAGCAATAACAATGGGAGGAGTATACTTATTCTGTAAGGAAAAAGTAAAGGCTGAGATTTGATTGTGAAACTTCTAGGAGAGGTTGGGGTATTGCAGCTAGTCTAATAAAAGGCATTACTTATCCCTGCTACCTTTGTTTCAGTTACTGTATTGGAAGTGCATTTGTTTCAGTTCTTTTCCTTTCTGAAAAAAATTAACCTAAAAAAAAGTAGTAGTTCAAGTTTATGCATGTAGAATACTGGTTTTGAAAGAGTATGTTATGATTAAACAGTAAGGCCTCACTTAGCATTCAGCATTGCTTCATATGTAATTAGTTATCTAAAGGGAAAGATCTCAACAAAATCTTTGGTCATCATTTGGGGTGAATTGTTTTTCTGTAAAACCAGTATGTGCTCTCATGTTACTAAGTTGAATTAATTTTTACCTATGCTTGTATCAACCAGTGCTTAATTTTTTTAAAGCTAGTGACAATCACTCACTTTGTGAGGAATTTTGTCAGCAGAAGATAAGAGAGAATTTTCTGTCTTGATAAAACCTGTTCTGTTTGTTGCATTTTTTTCAGTGCAGAGAACTCTACAAACAGTGCAGATGCATCGAGCAACAAGTTTGTTTTTGGACAGAACATGAGTGAGCGAGTCCTAGTGAGTATCCACTGTGTATGATGTGTTGTTATTTTGCAAGTAGTTTGTTATGGATTCTCACCATAGGAATTTTGAGAGCCTTTAATTGTACTTGTCGTTTGAGGATGGGTTTTTTTTCAGTGGTTTCCCTTGTGGGTAACTTTGAGTGCAGCCTGGGGAGTTCACTATGAGCCATTGTCTGCCCTGCAGGGCTCTCCAAGGACTTCCCTGCCAAGCTCTCTGTGTGAGGAGATTCAGTGCCCTCTCTGCCATGCACGTGGCTCTTGTGCCCAAGCACTTTATGGCACAGCTTGTTGCTTTAAATGGCTGTCCCAGAATAACTATGGGAGGGTGTTTTTATGTTTGTCCTCAAAATCGAGAGCAGGTCAGTTCCTGGACTCCCCTCAGGATGGGATTTAAAGTTAAGCAGTAAGGCAGCTGCCTCAGGACTGAGGTGTGATTCAGAAGGTTCTGTTTATTATGTACCAGCCTAAGGAATAATTTCTAGTGCCTCACTATTTCCTGTTGTTGTTTTTATTGCTGCACTGGAACAAAATGGAAGCATTTAATGCTGAGCACTCATACCTGTCTAACTGTGTAGCAGGGAGTTCAGTCAGCTATGCCATGAGCTGAACTGTAGCTGAAATTGGCTTGCTTTGTTAAACATAGCTTCAAAATAAATGTTGAAATTTGGTTTCAGTTCAAGGGAAGACAATTTGAACTGGTTTTCAGGTCACACTCCTTTCAATTCCGTGGCTGGGGTAGCAGGATGGCTTTTACTGTGAAAGCTTTTGTCTGGGAGATTTTCCTTTTGCATATGGTTCATAAACAGTGGGGCTTCCCTCAGTAATGGACCATTAGTCCTGTTCGGCAAAATAAGTGTGTGTTTTCTCTCTTTTGTTTACCTCCTTTTTGTGATAGAGTCCACCAAAATCAAATGAAGGTAGTACAGAGAGTAATAAGGAGAATGCTGCTACAGAGTCTGGGTCTGAGTCGTCTTCTCAGGAGGCCACGCCAGAGAAAGGTGAAAAACAAACTATAACTTTAGGAAGGGTAGTTAATCCATGTTTAAGTTATTGTATTTTTCAATATCTTGTTACTTTTCAAAAATGTAGCATTTTTATGTTGCCTTTACTGTCTCCAGAGATACAGGCTGGGTGTGGGAGGTGCTGGATGCTGTAGATTCTCCTATATTAAGCATGTACTGTCTTGTTCATGGTCATTTGGTGGTATTGGGAGTATCTTTAGCAGAGTGAAAGTAGAGGGAATTAACAGAACTGGTACTGGGACCAGAGTGTAGAAGAAATGTGGCAAACCTTTTTTTTTTTTTTAACAATTCTGTTGTATTTCCAGTAACTGAACGTCTGAGTCAAATGTGTATTGCATTGAGTGGGTGCACCATACATTGCTTGAACTCAAAACTCTTTGCTGGATTCTAGACTTATGTGGCTTCAAATTGGCAAGATTTTATGGAAATTCTGGGAACTGTGGGTTTTCTTCAGCAAACTGTGCCTGCAAGCCCAAATAAAAGTGGAAAATGAGTTGTGCTGTCCCTCTGTAGGCCCATGGCTGGCAGCAGGATCAGCACTGCTGGAGCACATACAGATATGCAGTTGTCCATGCAAAGGTTTTGAAATACTGTGTGTAGGAGCAGAAATTTTGATTACTTAGCTCTTCAGTCCCTTGTGTCCTGTGCTTGTAAAACAAGTATTAAAAGACAAGCTTTAATTTCTGCTTAAAATTTCAATCCTTTTTCACGTGTTCTAGTAAGGTCTGTCTTCTGTACTTTTCAAAACTCCTCAAAGTTCTGGTGTACTTGTGTGAGACCTTTATAAATCTTACGAAATTACGTGCTAATCATTCTCAGACTCTCAAAATGTTGTTCAGCTAATAATATTTCAGAATCACTGGCAGAGTCTGCAGCAGCCTATACTAAAGCAACAGCAAGGAAGTGTTTGTTAGCGAAGGTAGAAGTGATTACTGGGGAGGAAGCTGAAAGTAACGTCCTACAGGTAAGGAGCAGAGTGTGGAGGAGCTTTGGGTTTGTGGGGATTCATATGGATGTCCAGTGAATCCACACCATCTGATTCCCTACAACTCAGCCTTCCTCTGTATCTTTAATGTACTTCCTTGTGTTAAAATGCAAACTTTAGGTATTTATTTTCAGATCCTTGCTTGTTATCTTGTAATCTGTTGTTTCTTAATTTCCTCTTTCTGAATAAATTTTAGTGTATAAGCCATCCAGGTGGCTTTTGCTGGTGATTTTCCTGAATCAATCACACAGAAGCTTCTGTCTCATACAGCACAACTATTTGAAGAAAATTTGAGTGAACTAAATATTTTAAAGTTCTTTCTAATTGTTGTACTACTGAAGATTTTTTTAAAACTTGGAATCAACTATTTATGGCAGCAGTCTGGTTTCTTGCCAAGCAGAAACCATACCACAGCATTTGGAACTTGTCTTGAGGTATTTAATTGAATTAGTGATGTTTTGGAAGGATATTTTGTCATGACTTAAGACTCCTGGTTTTAACCGTGATTTATTTAGCATTGTAGTTATTCATTAACTTAAATATACTTATTAACTCTAGTATATCCTTAAGAAGAACATACAGGGTTTTCGTGTAAAATGAAGTGGTATATGAATTTTTTTCTCTTCTCTTTATCCTCCAATTATAACTGTTTGTTTTTTTTCTTGAGATATTTTAAGTTTCTCAGCATTTCGAACTCTGTTCTTTTTTAAGGACAGATTTTTGTTCTTAGACATGCTGCCTATTCTGACACCAAACAGTTGCACTGTGTCAGTAACTAATATGTATCAGTTATACTTGTATTATCTTGCAGAAAATGATCATCTATAATGTTAGTCATTCTTGACTTCTTTTAACCAGACATGAATGCTCTTTAAATAGTTCTGCTGGTACTTCTGTTTCTGTGTAATTCAGAAATGTCTGGATGCTTCACATAATTGAACAGGACACTGAAGAGATGAGGCTCCTGTTTCAATTAGGAAAACCACAGCTTTTAGCAGCTGTACACTTAATAGAGGACTGAGTTGCATAAATTTTGTAACTTAACAAAAGTTTGGCAAGAGATCTGTTCTTTTTTCCCCTGTGAAATGTAGTGCACTAGAATTCCAAGTGGGACTTGTATGTACAGAACTATGTTAATGTTGCAGAAACAGAGTATGCAGAGCTAGATGTCCTGGGGTGGAGAAAATAAGAAATGGAGGGAATGAAAATGGGAATATCTTCTCCACCTAGTGCATGCACATCTGGGGGGAACTTGAGGGGGGTGACAGTTTGAGCTCTGGAATCTCAGCAGTGACAGTGAAGATGGGTTAGAGGTGGGGGAACAGAGCAGACATGTTCAGCAGGGAAGGAAAGTGGAACTTGTATGAAAGAAGGAGCAATCCTACCATTTGAAAAAATTTGAATTTTCTAACTAATGAACCCTGCAGGGAGGTAGTAGAAATACCTCAATTATTCATGACTTTGTGTGGGTCAGGCTTTATGAATTGATCACGAGCTAACATGTTTCTTCATCCTTTTTTTTTTCCTGAATTCAGGAAAAAATTTGCTTTGCTTTCATTATACTGGGTCTTTCCAGCAACAAATACCACTTTCAGTGGTGCAATGTGTACCTAAGGCTTTTAAAAGAGTTGACTGATTTAAGGCAGTCTCTTATCACGTTAAGTTTCCTCTGTGAAAATTGTTCTTGTTGTTTTGATCTTGAACCCAGGTATTCTTTAAGATTATATAGCTTCTGTTAATAAAATCTAGTGAAACCAGACAGTATATTTTGAGGAGTTTATTGCAAAAGAAGGGTTGACTGCTTTGGTTTCCACAACTATGAACAATTAAAAATTTCAACGTGAAATCTGAATATTTTTTTAACCAATTGCAGATGACTAAGAAATGCATTATTACTTCAATCAACCACTATGCTACAGAGATATTTTCTGTTACAGATTCAGTGCAAGCTGTTTGTATTTGATAAAAGCTCTCAGTCTTGGGTGGAAAGAGGTCGAGGACTCCTGAGACTCAATGATATGGCCTCAACAGATGATGGAACGTTACAGTCTCGACTGGGTAAGAGGAACCAGGGGAAATGAGATACTGGGTGACAGTCATGCTGTTTTCATAGTGTGCTTCCATGACACACAGCAACATCCCCTTTAGGTCATGTCTTAGCTGCAGCAACTCAGAAGGAGTTTGGACCTTTCCTTTTGCTTCAGTTAATGAACATTGCCTCCAAAGAGAGTATCTTTCCATGTCCTTCTGTTGCAGCAAATGTTCCAGTTACTTTTTTCCTCATAAAAGCAAGAGGTATTTAGTAACTAGAATATTTGACTGGAAATGGATGGTAACATCATCCAGATCTGGGCCCTTTGGGATGGGTTGCCTGTAAAGCCTCTTTGAATAGTGCACGATTGTTCAGGCTGATGGGAATGTGCATTAGCCTGAGATTATCAGCTCAGATACAACCACTGAACTTTGATGTATTAACATATAAGACTTTGGACTAAGTATCTTTAGACATGACTGATAATCTTTAACAGCCTTGTTGTGGTTTAACCCCAGGCAGCCCCCAAGCAGCTGCTCACTCTCCCCCACCAGCAGGATCAGGGAGAGAATCGGAAGGGTAGAAGTTAGAAAACTTGTGGATTGACATAAAGACAGTTTAATAGAGAAAGCCAAAGCTGTGCATGCAAGCAAAGCAAAACAAGAAATTAATTCACTGTTTCCCATGGGCAGGCAGGGGTTCAGCCACGTTCAGGAGAGCAGGGCCCCATCCTGTGTAATGGTAACTTGGGAAGACAAACACCATCACTCCAAACATCCCCCTGCTTCCTCTTCTTCCCCCCATTTTATATACTGAGCATGATGTCATATGGTCTGCAATATCCCTTTGGTCAGTCCCCTGTCCAGGCTGTGTCTCCTCCCAAACTCCCATGCATCCCCCAGCCCCCTCCCCAGCATGGCAGCAGGAAAAGCAGAAAAGGCCTTGGCTCTGTGCAAACATTGCTCAGCAATAACAAAAACATCAACCCTGTGTTGAGCAGAAATCCAAAACACAGACCTATATCAGCCACTGGGAAGAAAGTGAACACTATTCCAGCCAAAACCAGCATAAACCTACATTCTTATTAACAGGTGTAACAAAAGCCCCAAAAGGGCTTTCCCTTGATATCCTTTGTAAAGAGACTGAAACCTTTACACAATAAAAAGCTGTCTTGAGCTGTTTTGAGCTTCCTGGTGTGTCTTTTTCCACCTAACTGATCTTGTAACTTTGCTTTAGTGATGAGGACTCAGGGGAGTCTCAGGTTAATCCTAAATACCAAGCTCTGGGCCCAGATGCAGATTGATAAAGCCAGTGAGAAGAGCATCCGGATCACCGCCATGGATACAGAGGACCAGGGAGTTAAAGTTTTTCTTATATCAGTGAGTACTGGTTTTTGGTTACATCTTAACCTTCCTACTGAAGTAGCTTCTTACTTAAACTGTAGTTGAGGTAACATTCTCATTTTCCTTTGCACCCTACACTGTATTAATATCACCCCTACCCCAAAGACAAGGGGCTTGGCAGATTTGCTTGTCCAAAAAGCCTTGCTAGTCGTGAAGAAAAGCCACATCCACGGCTGCTTTAGGAAACCAGGTTGTCCAAAGCATTGCCCATGGAGTCATGGGATCTGTTCCATCCCTACTGAGACTGTGACTATAGTGTTTAATGCAGATTGTTTTCTGCTATTAGGGAAAACAAGCGTTATTTCATAAGTTTCTATGCAATAGTTAATGAAATTAGATCTGCTGGAACTTGCAGTACAGAAGTGCTGTCACAGCGTGGGAGGATGGATAGGTGCTTACTGAAAGGGAAACACTAAAACTCTGTCAAGAACATTGTGTTGGTAGTTAAGGGTAACACATTTTAACTTCGATTTTCTTTTGACACAGAGTATTCAAAGCAGTAACAGGATAGTGAAAGGGATTGCTGTGCTTGCTGAATGGGGAACAGCAATGCCAGTCAGAATTACTGAAACACTTGAGAGCTCATCATACAGTAAGCAAGGAAGAGGTTATTGCTTAACCTTACACTTACAGATTTGGAGAGGTCCAAATATGTTCTTTTGATTTACACTGATGATACACAAGGAGTTGCAAAAGAATTAGTACTCAGAGGGATCAGAAATGAAGAGAACAGCAACAAACAGTCAGCTTCCCCTGAGACATTAGGTTTGTAGGACTGGGATCTGGAGTCCCAGAGTAGAACTTAGTGATACCAAATATCCCTTGATGAAGAAGCAGTGAAATTACTGGATAAGTTTTTCTCAGTATTCTTCTAGATTTGAAAGCTTGAGTTAATCTGTCGTCAGGTTATTTACTTTTGATTTTAGTATTGATAAAAAGTATCTTGCTTGGAATTATTTATTCATTACAGCTCATTGCAAGGGAATTTCACAGATATAGAGGTGACAGATGGGGAGGATAGAAACAATTTTTTTGTGAAAGAATCTGAGAAGTGGGATTGTTACCTTACAGTTGACTTGGAGTAATGGTAATAGTAGTTAATATGAGGACTTTACTGACGTGGTGAAGACAAGAGTTTTGTAGTATTTGAAGGAAGTTTCCCTTTTAAATGATGTCCATTAAATATTTAGTTTAACAGGCCTAATAATTGATTATATTGAAGGCTTAAGGTGCCTCTGAGAGTAAAAACATATTCTTGGACAGGTTGCCACAAATGCTTCCCTTTGAAACAGAGTGTAAAAAAAAAAAATCAGCCTGTGTCTGACTGTTCAGTTTTCTCATTATGTCTTATGTTGAAATTTTATGTCAGTGCATCTTGAAACAACTAACTGACTTGATTATGATTAACTACTGTATGAAGTTGAATGCTTGACAGACCTGGAAAAATCTGCAAGACTTTCATCTGAGATCTTTTTAATATAAGCTTTTGGGACATGTTAGAAAAGCTGTGTGGTTTCTGGGTGAAGAAGGTTATGTGAAATCAGCTGGTATGGGGTATGTTAGCCAGGGGAAGTTGGAGCTGAGCAGAAGAATATACTCTCACCACCAGAGTTCAGTATGTCTGTTGTGTGTCTCACAGCCCACTCTGACTGGTTTGAAAAACCAGTTTGTTTGAGAAAACAAAACTGTGCTGTGAAATTTGGCTTGGCTGGTGTGTGTTACGTCGGCAGCGTTTTGTTCTAATTCCTTGCACCTTCTTGTTTCTGAATATTAACAAATGCAGGCAAGCTCTAAAGACACAGGGCAGTTGTTTGCTGCTTTGCACCATCGCATCTTGGCCTTGAGGAGCAGGGTGGAACAGGAGCAGGAAGTCAAGAATGTAGCACCTGAGCCAGAGGTAACACAGTCAAACGAGGAAGACAGTGATGATGATGTCATTGCACCTTCAGGAGCAGTTGGAAGTGGTAAGTAAGAAAGACAAGTGTTCCCTGTTTTCCCTGCGTTTTTCTGTGTCATTCCTTAAAGCAGACTGTGCTCTCTGGATGTGGTAGATGTCACCTCTCACAGATGTCACCTCTCACCTGTCACCTCTCACAGGTGTCTGTGGAGTAGGACTATTGCATGAATTGGCTTTTTGAATGCAGCTGCTTCTTGCTTCTTCTCCAAACTGGTAAAAGACCCCTGTGCTGGGTCTCTCTGAGTTATATGCCACAGTTTAGCTGAAGTTTTCTGAGCTCTGTTTCATTTCCAGGATTTCTAAGGGGTGGTTTTGAGTTTCATTTTTGCCTTCACCATGGCCAAGGGTGCACATAAAACCTGAGATAACTTGGGATCAGCAGGCAGGATCCAGACTGACCTTTGAGTAGAGAGCAGAAGGTTTACAAAGGGGCATGGAAAGAGTGCAATGATTTTTATTGTACATGAGGAGACCATACTTTAAGAAAAGCACTAGTCTTCAGTTTGAGGAAGGCTTCCTTTTGTACTCTTGACTTGGAAGTCATCTGTGCTTTGCTTTCCTGTGCCTTAGAACATCCAGCCTTTGACAGAGACCAGTCCTCTGTCCTGATTCACTGCAGGTAAAAAGGAGGAATGAATATGAACAAAAGCAGTGGGTGGATTGAAGAGGTTGGAAGCAGAGCTTTTAGGCTCTAGGATGCTACTGAGATCCCCAAACCAGATTAGTGAAGAACATAAAATTCCACAGTGGACAGACCTTAGTCTGGAGAAGGAAATGTAAGGCCAGGGGAATTCTACAGTTCTCATTGTTATTGAACATCTGAACCTGAGATTTGTGTAGCCTGCTTGGGACGGGTCTCTTTTTGTACAGCGAGAAACAAAAGATATTTCTCATGACCAAGAACTGCTTTTATTGTTTCAGGTCCTAATGATGAAGGTGATGGGCAGAACGTTGGCAGCACATAGCAGATGTGAGCCAACCTGCTTGCAAGGCTGCTATGAACACCATCTTGCAGGCATCTCTGGGTACCCCAGGCCAGCGATTATTTCAGGCAGTGTCGAAGGCTCCAGGACTAAAGAACTGTGCATCCCTGTTCTGTTTGTTTGATTTTTTTGGTCTGGATCAGTAGATTCCACAAAAAAAAAAAAAAAAAAGCAGACTTGGAAACTACCTGAATGTGGTTTGGGACGTTGAAAGCTCATCATATTGATGAGCAAAAAAGAAAAAAAAAAAAAAAAAACAAAAAAAAAAAAAAAAAACCAAACACAAAAAAAACCCCAACCCCAGAACAAAACAAAAAAAATCCCCCAGCCAACCCCAAACATTTCCCCCTCTTCCTTGTAATTAAAATGGCACATTACAGCTTGTCACAGCTTTTCATTGGGACCTTTTGACTGTTTCTTCAGTAGTTGGTGTCTTGCAGGCGCCTCCGAGATAGAACTTTTTGGTTCCAACTCGAATTCTGCTTTTGCAGCCTCTGCTCCCCCTTGTGCAGGGACACCGTGTCCTCACCAGTTCCTATGCTCACTGGCTGCCCTTTTGGGTTTCTCCTCTTTTTGGACTGCAGATGGGGCAGGTTATGTTCTTACCTTTCAATCCCAGCAGAGGTTGTGGGCACCGTTGTTCCCTGTCTCGTGGGTTTGTAAACAGAGAGAAACAAAACGTTGTGGTTCACCAGAAAAGCTTTTTTTTTAACGCAGTAATAAGAGACTTCAAAGCCCGCAGGATGTTTTGCTAACTCCTTTCTTTCTTCCCATTTCATTATTATTATTTGGGGATTTATATTGTGGTGAAACTTTTTTTATTTTAGTTTTTTTCAATAAGATGCTCTTGTGTGTTGAAAAAGTGAAACTATTGTTTTGTACTGTTCTGTTACTATTTAAGGGAGAGCTAAGCCACTATAAATAATAGATGTTGCATACGATTTTTCTTAGAAAATTATGTTTCTGTGGCTACAGTAAAGTGTAGGAGGCATACAGGTTACACCTTCAGAAAAGTTGATGAGGAAATAGCTGTTAGCCCTTGGAAGAATAAAATAGGCTCATGTAATGAGCTCTGCCAGCCATTAAAATAAATTGTATAATAAAGCAGCTCATTTAATGGCTTGATTCAACAAGCCATTTAAGCACTTGCCTGACTTAACTACATGTGAATAATCTTACTGAAGTCAATGCAACTCTTCATGCTTAAAGTTGAGGACATTTTTAAATATCTTGCTGAATTAATGGCCTTAAATAGAAAATATAACTTCTAACCCTTCCTGTCCCTGTTCTGTTTCCTTTTTCCCTGTTCAGTCTTGCAGCATGAAGAAAAAGGTAATACTGCCAGCCTTGAGTAGTTTGGGCTGAAGGTTATTGTATTCTGTTCCACCAAAATAAAAGCAAGAATGTGTTTTCCTGTGTGTAATTCTGAAGTACTCCTACTGTAACCATAACTCTTTTTTTTTGTTTTGTTTTGTTTTTTAATCTTTTGAGCTTTTCGTGTGAAAGTTGAGTTTTATTTTGTTATTAAAACATACAGTATGTTCTTGTCCAGCAAAGTTGGAATTTGGTAGTCACCAACGACAGTGACCGGATCACTTTCACTATAAATTCCCCAAATTGTTCTACTTTCTTTATAAATAGTTTACTGGCAGATAATTTCTCAACTTGTCCTTCTTGTTCTTCTGTAGCTTAAGGAGATCTAAAATGCACCACTTAAATGCTTCTTCCCCTTTCATTTTCTTTTAATGTAGCACGAATTGAAAATAGAAACTCAGGTTATAGCACAAAATCAACTTTGAAATTGAATATTGAAATAGCAGAACAGTCCTCATTGCCTCTGTTTTAAAGGAACATACTTTTCACTGGCAGTCAAAACCAAGTTTTTCCCTTTTATTTGTTGTTAACCATCGTTGGAGACTGATGCTGTTGGGGCAGGGAGTGCTTTGCTTTTCCTGATAGCCAGTTGAAAGGAACATCTTGGATTACTTTTCTGGGAAGTGAAAAGGGCTAATGATAAGCTGTGCCACTGCATCTGTGATTTCTTTGGATTTGCCTGCTCATACCTTCTTGCACTTTGGGGTTTTTTTTCTCCTTAGAATTATGGGGGTTTTTAACAATGCACAGACCTGTTGCTGCACCCCAAACCATGCCATGCTCTTACAGGAGCACAGCACGTTCTTCAGCACCCACCTCACAACTGTTTCTGCATCACAAGGTCTGGGGGACTTCTGTACTTTCAAGTGAGTGATCTGCATTTTGGATCTGGGATCTTTTTATGTTATTAAGGTGCTCAGATTTAAACTACTCTTTTTAAACACCCTTGAACCATAAAGCTGCTTCTTGTCAGCAGGTTGTTGTTCATAAAGAAAATTAATAAGGTCTCTTGGTGAACAGGTCTATTTGTGGGGAAAACAGGCATTGTTTCCTGTCCCAGACTTCATGGGGTCTATGCTGAGTCTCACTTTGAGGTATTTTACCTAAAATGCAATTGGTGGTGCATGAAGATTGAAAAAAATGAAATAAGCATGCTTGCCTTGATGGGCTTTGGTGGTACACAATCACCTAGAGCATTCTAAAAACATCAGCAGCTATTTACTGATGCAGATTTCATTTTAGCTAGAAGCTTTGCATAAATGTTTATAGTGAAGAGGGAAATGTTACTGTGCACCCCTGACAGAATTGGCTGTGGGTTTAGTTCAGGCCCTGCCCAGCAAGATGTAGTTAGGCCAAAGCAAAGCCCTGACTTAGCTCTCTGCTTTAAGCCTTAGTAAACCAGTGACAGGCAAAACCAGGTAGTGCCCATGTGTCTCAAAAGATCTCTATAATACTGTCATCCAAATGCACATGGGAACTACATTAAAACCTGTGCCAGGCAAACAAACAAAACACCCTGAGCCCTGTCTTGTGTTTCCTGTCCCGGGCAGTGGCTGTCCAAGGGAGGGTGGGGACCAGCTCTGCTGCCTTCCCCTGGACCACACTCCTGCTCCATCTTTCCCCTTAGGTCTGTGGATAACTTATGGATGGGGTTGGCAATTCTTGTGTAGCCTGTTCTGGCTGCTGACCCACATGGCCACGGCCTTTCAGGTTTTCCAGGGGGAAAAAAAAGACACTTAAGAGTGTAATAAAGTTGAGCCCATTTGATGATGAATTAACATTGTGCCCTGGCAGCCAGGAGGGCCATGGGGGGCATTGGGCATAGATGGCATTGCCACCCAGTCCAGGGAGGGGATTGTCCTGCTCTGCTCTGCACTGTGGCAGCCTCACCTTGAGTCCTGTGTGCAGGTTTGGGCACCACAATATAAGGAAGACATGAAGCTCTTAGAGACTGTCCAAAGGAGGGCAGTGAGGATGGTAGAGGGACTGGAGGGGAAGCCTTATGAACTGAGGTCAGTTGGTTTGTTCAGCCTGGAGGAGACCGAGGAGAGACCTCACTGGGGTCTTCAACATCCTCCTGAGGGGAAGTGGAGAGGCAGGTACAGATCTCTGCACTCTCCTGACCAGTGACAGGGCCCGAGGGAACGGCTGGAGCTGAGTCAGGGGAGGTTTAGGTTGGATCTCAGGAAAAGGTTTTTCACCCAGAGCGTGGTTGAGCACTGGGACAGGCTTCCCAGGGAAGTAATCACAGCACCAAGGCTGTCTGAGTTCAAGAAGCATTTTAACAATTCTCTCAGTCACATGGTGGGATTGTTGGGGTGTCCTGCACAGCACCAGGAGTTGGACTTGATCATCCTGATGGGTCCCTTCCAACTCAGCGTATTCTGTGAGTCTCTGAAAATGTTGCTAGAGTGGTGGTGTCACTGAAGCCAGAAGTAAACCTCTTATCCATAAAATGAAATATAAAATTACACCCTCAGGAAATATAAACATTAAGGTAAGGAAGTGTGTAATTACAACATCTTTTTGTTGTCCAGTTCCCGCTGCTTCAGAGAAGACAGGGCAGGAAATGATCTAAATAAATGAGTCCTCAGCCATCCTCCACTGGAACCAAGTTGGGAGGTGACCAGACCTGTTAGAAGCCTGCAGGAATTAAAAAGAACCTCCAGCTTTGTAATGGATTCTCCCTGTTCCCAGTCACCGAGATATCAGTTGATTCCATTGCTTGGGTATTCCTGCTATGAAATGACTGTTCCTAACATGTCCCACTCTGCAGTTCAACTGGCCTCTTGCTCTCCCAGTGAGTGTAGAAAATGGTTTATTTCCTTTCTAGAAACATGTTACATATTTGAAAATTTTACCATGTTTCCCCATAAACTTCTCTAGTTTTAGGAATTCCAGTTATGATAATTGCCATAATTTGTCATACAAGATTTCATTAAACTGACTTTTCACTGTGTGCTTTTTCTCCCCTTATTATTTGGTCTTTCTGTGCACTGACTTGCTTAAACTGAACTCCAGACCATTGTGTGGGTAGCAGAGAAATTCAGACAGGAATTTATAAAGATATTTTATTTTACAGGTATTTTTTCCCTCCTATGAAATCAGCACAGAGCAACACAGGTGCAAGAGAGAATTGCTGAACTAGACTGTTAAAATCAGTCTTGATTTTTCTCTGCTAGGTGCTGGTACAGGTATCTTGTAAAGAAATGCTCACAGATAATTTCTGTAAATAAAAGTCTCATTCAAATATAGAATTCAGAGCTCCCTTTTGACTACCTCCTTTCCAGGGCACTCCATTTTGTAAAGATACAAAAGCTGAATTTGTCACTGAGAACACTGGTAGTTCTGTTGCAGGGGGTGGGCAGTGAATGCCTTTTCCAAGGATACCTGTGGGCTGTATTTTAAATGAGCCACTCCTGATCGAATTTTGGTAGCTTCACTTCAGCTTCTGATGAAGCCTTGGAAAAGCTGAGTGCTGTGATGTGTTCCAGAGACCAGGAGGTGTCATTGAGGCCCTGCTGCAGGACCTGTGCTGCTGGTAACACTTACTGAGCATCTGTGTACTGACTGTACGCATGGGAAAGCTTTTCCTCTTGTCCTCTGAAAAGCAGCTCAGTTGCCCATTTAGCAGACAAGATAAACTCCAGTTCTGGAGAGTTCAGACCACTTCATCTGCAGATAGGAAATCTATCAGACAAGGCCCTGTAAAAAGCTTCCAGAGGGGAGAATGGGGAAAAGTTTTGAATGTGATTTGCTGCTGGATGGTTCTGCCATTTCTAAAAACGTTTCAGAGGTAGAAGGAGCCCGGGTTATTTGTAGCTGCTAGTAGCATGGCAAGCCACTCCCCTGTTTAAGGGAACTAATACTCTATAGCAGCAAACTGCTTTGTCTGTGGTTTAAATACTTGGAGCCAAGCTAGATGTTTTAAGAGTAATGTTACAATAATTATACGTTGCTTTCCCTGGAACTTGCCTGTTTATAGTAAGGTAGCTGTTCTCTCGTACTGTAACAGTTCTCTGATTAGCAGTCACTGCCTTGGGAGGCTCTTGCAGCCTGAGGATGGGTGGATATCTGCTGGATAACCCCTACCTGCCGTGTGCCAGTCCCCAAGGTTGGCTGCAGTCCCTCCACGAGGCAGGTGAAGAGCTGCACAAAACTGGGTGCTGAGTCTGGTGCTCCAGGCACTGCACCTGCTGCAAAAGAGGAGAGATGGGAATTGTCGGTCCCACCTCCCTCGTCTGTGAAAGAAGCAGTACAAATCTGCCTGGGGATACAGACTCAGACGAGCTTTTACCAGCTGCTTGGAGCCCAGGGTGCTGTTTGTTACTTACTGGTGAAGAGTCTTGCCCTGTGCAAGATTTGGTGGATTCCGTGTATTTATATCGGGGAAGGAGCATTTGCAGCGTGTGCTATGCTGGAGCTGAGGGTTTTCTCATCCTGCTGTCTGGAAAGGTGACAAATTCCTTTGTCTTATGTGCTTAGAAAGGGCTTTGCAGGAGGGGCAAAGCTGCTCTAAAACCCGCTTCCTTTAGTAAAGCATCGTAAGCTGTTCCTTGGGATAAGTTGGGGCAGTAGCATCCAGCTCCAGCTGTGTCGAGCTCCTGTCCCAGAGAAGAGGTGTTGTGGGGGGCTCGACATATTTGGAAATGCAGAAATCAAGCATTTAATGTGTTTTTCACGTACAGGGGAAAGAGGAATAGGCAGGTGAGAGAAAGCTTGAGCTATCATCGATACAGTTGTGGACTTCTTCACTCAACTGTTGGAACTGGAGCTGTTTCAAGGGTCGGGAAAACAAAGGGAAGAGCTTTGCTCGAAGGCGTGTCACTGAGAAGGCGGAGAGTTATGTTTTTATTGGCAAACTGTGAACAGCTGGAAAAATAAATGCATAAAAGCATCGGTATAGCACCGTGTGTCAAAGCATCTTTATTACTACAGAAGGAAAAAAGGGCCATAACAGCAGTATAGAGACAGCCAGAGAATTAAAATTGAATCCTTGAAAATTCATAAAAGATGATCCAAGAGCTATTTAGTTAAAGTTGTAGACTCTACACATACAAAAAGCCCCCAAACCCACACACTAACCCCCCCCCAAAAGAAAAAAACAAACACAAACACCGAACCCCAAAAAGCAACCAAAACCAAAAAACACACCCCAACAAAACAAAGCCACAACATCCCGCCGAGTCAGAGCCCCCGGCTTAGGCGGAGAGCCTGAGACCTGCGGGTGGGGAAACCGGGAACACGGGGCAGAAATCCTTTAGGAAAATGATCGTACGGGT